ATAGCTCTCCTCCGAGGCGAAAATCAGGGCCTTAGACATGCCATTATGCACGAAAGGAGGAAGCGTAAGCGTGGCAGACCCTTATTTGAAGAGCTACGTGCTGAATCGGGTTCCAAATCACAGTTCTACAGTCCTAAAAAGATCGAGCGAGCTCGTGAGCTCCAGCGAGAGAAGGATCAGGGTAAACGCGATAAGAAGGCACGGAAAGCACAGGCAAAACTGAATAAAGCACTTCAGAGGGCAGAGAATGATAGGCTACGAGCGGAACAAGTTGCTCAACGGGCACAGGACCGTCAGATTAGGGCGGCAGAAAGAGAGGTAGAGCTTGCTCGACGTAGGGCCATTCGACAGGCTGATCGTGAAGCAAGATCGGCACAGGCACAGCTTCTCCAAGAGTTAAAAACACCTCGAAACACCAGAAAACGAGCAAAAGAAGCCTCTCCACAGCAAATTGTACAGCCGCAGGTAATCAGCAGCGATGTGGAGGAGCTAGATAGCGATGGGGAGGAATCTAAAGGAATGGAGACTCAGACGCGGCGAGGTCGCATTTCCCGGCCACCACGATACCTTAAGGGCTTCGATTTGGGCCCTAAATAAGCTTATAGTATCTCAGAATCTCACAACAACAATTTTTTCTAAATCTCTATTGTGTATGGGCACGAATGGCTTCAAAACTGAGTGCCCATCGCGAGCGCTTATGACGCGGTGGACCGTGCAAGGAGTGGTGCCGTGCACGTTGTGGGGAAAACCCATACATCTATAGCGCAGAAGCCGAAAACCATCCGGAGGCTAATCTACAGCAGCAAACCATACGTAACGACCAATAGCAAATAATGGACGCAGATGGAACATTGATTGTGGTATCCTCTAACCATCGCATCAGGGAGTGCATGTGGTGTCATCCCCGCACTTCATGTTGGACCACGCACAGTACGCCGCACAGCAACATCAATCAATAACGGGATATCAAACCCATCGCACCCTGATGCTCATTGTTCATTATTCTTGAGAGTACCTCTTAGATAGGAGAGACGGAATCGCAATGGCCCGCGTCAGCCTCATTCCTGCACTTCTAGTATCACCAAACTCTAGCGACGCCTTCGAATGGAGCTTCCCTCCTAACCTGGAGTCTGAGATAACCACCCTAGCCGCCTGGTGTCAAGTCAAGCAGAAGCAGAGGGCCCCCCTTTCTTTTTCCATCGAGGATAGTAAAGATGATCTGGAGGAGTCCACTGACGACGAAGAATGCACTAATCTGCTCATTCCACCATCCCTAGATGGCGACACGCGAATTAAAAAGGACTTTCTCGACCGACTCGCAGAACTACTTTGCTATAGAAAAGACCCTTCATTGATCACGAGCACGGCGTTCATCTATAGTGAGATGGAGGTGACTATTGTGGCTGCTCGAAACTCGACCTCGGGCGGGAAAGCTTGGTCGGACGAGGATATCAAGATGCTCGAATACTTGGCCGAAGTCCTCGAGAGAGTTTCAGCTGACGGTTGGTGTCTCTGTCGAAACCTGCCTCCCGTGTCGATAAACTGACTTCTTGCATAGACACTTTCGAGCCTCACCCGCTTCCGGCGCTGCAGAGCACCTTAGTGGAATATTACAGTCAAAGAATTCGGCACCACGCGCAGAATGCCATGTCTATCGAAAAGGGAAACACGGGATTGAATTTCTTCAAAGACGGCGTGTGTAATGACGTCGTGTCCGGCAATCTAGCTGTATACGACTTTGCTAGGGGTGTTGAGGCCATATCCTATAGTACGGACTTTTATACCGAACTGAAGGTCAACCTGACACCCGAAAACCTTGGTCGCGTCGTGGAGGAATTGGCGCATATTCGAAGGCCGATGCAAGGTGCAGGAGCCTTTTTGCATGTCGCTCAGCAATGCCCTGGCTTTCGCAACGTTAAAATCGTCTTACTCAATAGTCTCCCGGCAAGGAAGGTCAAGATATGGCCGTTGCCCAAGGAAGAGTTTCCAGTCACCCCGCGGTTAGAACGGAAATTCCGCAACGAAGTTAAGAAGCGCAAGAACCTCCATGCCGAGATGGTGCTAATGGCCTATCTTCTTGGCTCTAGGGGTCTCTGCTCGGAAGTTTTCCCGTATCTTGGGGTTAGCAAGAAGACGTGCCTTCTTTGCGGGTACTTACTTCGGGAAATAGGCTTTTTCGAAACTCGAGGGAACCACGGGAAATGTTATTCGCAATGGACATTTCCCCGCACACTACGGACGAACCCTGAGGTAGCCGAGAGACTACGGAGGGCTGTTCAGCGTCTGAGAGACATTCTTTGGGATGAAGGGATAAAGTGCGACGTGTCTCACCGGGGTGCAGAGAAGGAATCAGTGATGGCGGTCCCGGTTCCGACCAGCGACAGGAGGAAGACGACGCTTTTTAATAGCATAGTCGAGGACCCTAGATTTCTTGCGAGAGAGACAGAGTGGTTGGCCATGTCTTACAAGCGCGATAGAGAAGCCAAGTAAGTGGGAGAGATTGCTTGTTAGTTCGCCCTTGGTTATCCTCGATGCTAATATGGACTAGCATGACTCCTAGCTACGACAAACACATTGTTGAGTCCTCTCATGCACGGAATGGCGCCAGTGTACCAGAAGTTAATACTGGAGGGCTCAAAGGAAAAAAAGCCGACGCTGTTAGCCCAACAGTCTGCGCTTTCTGCAAGGCCACCTGCGAATTCGCCCATATTTGTAAAAAATATGGGGTTGCCGCCTACTGTACTCCCGATTGCTACCGATCCGACTGGCATCGACACAAATTTTCTTGCAGCTTGGGCAGACCGACCGACGCCACGGATTATTTGGTGCTCGCTTGTCACGCAAACAAGTTTCCCCTTGAAGACGACGTAGCGAATAGGTATGGCTTTATGTACTTTGCTTCCGGGCATGATCGGTGGAGGCTCTTTAAGCTTTACCGCCGGCTTGTAGTCGACTGGAGGATTAACGAAGACGAGCTGCGCAGTGCGGTAGAGCGGAACAAGCTTCAGGAGATGCTTACGTTTCGATGCTTGCAAACCGGGGACCCTGGCATGCTAAGAGACATGCAGTGGCTTAAGAGCGAGGAGGGATTTGGAACCAACAGCAAGGGGCCGGAACTTGCTGTTATCTTCGAGGCGGCCCAGAGGGAGCTGTTAAGTCCTGACGAAAATGAGGTGCCGATCGTTGAACTTCAGCCTTTGGAAAAGAGAAAGGCGTTTGTCTTCTACGTTCAGATCCGGAATGGATTCAAGCCTGATGTGGATGAGGATAATTGGATCTCATTGGGATTTTGTACGGCCGCGGACCCCCAATCAGAACAGCGACTCGTTTCCGTATATGGATGGCTTGTCGAGCGATGCCCGTTTGATGAGTTCTGGAATGCCATGGTAGAGTCGAGGATGGTGGAATTGTTTAGGAAATATGGGCTTGCGGACCGAATATTGCACCTGCGCAATTTCAAGAACTTCATGGCCATTGTCAAGAAACGGCATCAGAGCGTGTGGGAGCTTAAGCGATTTACACTCATGAACGTAGCTGATCCGTTCCGAGCCGTTGTAGTCGACTACGGATTCATGAACTGCAAGGATGCACGCCAACGGATGCAGCTTCGAGCGATATATCAGGAATACTTTGAACGGGGAGAGGATGAGATGAGACTCCATGAAGCATGCATTGCCGGAAAACTGGGGAGCTTCCTAGAGTCGGTCTTAGGAAGTCTTGCGGTGCGCCCGGACCTTCTTCGGAATTCTTATCCCTTGGAAAACTGCCCTCTTATGGGCATGGTGACCGATTCTGTTATAGTGTGCCCAAAGTCTGTTTTGGACCAGGTGAATGCTTTTGAGAGGGGTGATGGGGAGGAGACAATGGTAATTCCGGATGCCGAGGACGAGGCGATGATAAGATGTATTTACGATCGTGCTGCGTTTCTAGGGACGGAAGTGAGAAAGCGGTATTATTCTGGATCAGACGGCAAAGTTGTTACCCAGTTGGCGTGGTAGGTACTAGGGCTGGACACGAATAAGGATTTTGGCTATTCGTATTCGACTTTTCCTCTTGAACGATTATTCGTATTCGACTAAGTTTTGGGACTTTTTATTCGTATTATTCGCGAATATTCGTAAATAATGCCAAGACTTATTCGGCAAAAGCCGAGCCTATGAATGAATGCCCAGCAGTCGCGACTTTTGTTTACCCGAACACGATCTGGAGGATTTGAGCTCTAAGAGAGAGATAGATTCATATGCCCGTCAGGCCTCTCGGCGAGGCCCATGTGGGGAACTACCTAAGCTGACTAATTACATACATTGGTGCTGTGATGGATCAGAGGTCTATCGACCTGGATGCCTTGTGGCCTTTTGGCCCGTTTGCTCTGTAAACACCAGAACAGATAAACGCCTCGCACACCTTAGATAGATTCCTCCTCCATAGCAACAATTCAATGTTTGCCTCATGATTGGAGATTCCCGATAGTGAGACTCTTACACTTTGTTGCTATCTTCCCTATAAGTATTAACTTATTCGGAATATATTGATTAATTAAGAATCATTAAAATCAGCAGTTAAGCACTCTGATTAGTTACGCTATAACTAGGACCTATCGAAAGAAAGACCTATAAAGAACCGGAATTGCCGAACCGACAAATCAAGGTATTAGAACCCTATCGATCCTTGTTAGCGTATAGATCGAATAAATACGAGTCGGAATTCGAGCCGCAGGCTTAGCACGAGTTACAAGTTATAGCGGATACTCCGTAGATAAAATACGCGGGAGTATACCCAGAAGACAGGCGGCAAGAGATCCGTTAAGAGAAAAAGCCTATTAAAGTAGGCACTTGTTATGGTCCCAGGCCTGTGGCCTGAGCCCTTGGGTGTGGCTGATAGCCACTGAGGTGTGGCTGGTGGATTGCATAGGGATTATCAGAAAAGCAAACATAGTTACACTGCATTAGGGCAGCAGAGGGGAGAGTCGCTACTTCACGCACAAAGGCGCCAGGAGATTCTCTCTTTCCCTCTCTCTTCAGTTTAGATTAATGGAACTTGGTAATCGCAGATCTTGCGCATCCAAACCGTGTCAGCACTAAGAGAAAGATCCTGAAGTTGGATCCGAAGAACCACTACCTTCGATTTAAAGAATCCGTAGTCCTCGATAATAGAGGTGCGCTAACGAAGGCAGCTTCCGTAGGACTTCGAATCTTCCTTCGAAATCCTTATAGAGGAGACGCCGTTACTAGGCCGGAGCGCCTTACGGCCTTTTACACCGGCGATACTTTCTTGCGTCACGTTTAAGATGACCCAAAGGGATAGTTTACCCTCGTTCTTCGTGCGGCGAAGAACTACTAAGACGAGCAGGAAACTATCACCGAATTATTAGTACTAGTACGAGAAATTCGGGCGACGCCGACTAAGAAAATGATAAAGCCTACTAATGCTTCCCCTGTTAAAAGAGAGGAGAAGTATATAGCGATAAATGATAAACTAATCCGTATACGAGCTTAGAGAAATAAGTATAAGTCTTAGTAGAAAGACCTCTAAGCCGAGATCGCAGAACTTAAAAATAAGGTTAAAAACCTTAAGACCGAAAAGAGCCAGGCAGACCCTATAGAACGACGATATGCTGGCTTCTACGAATCTGAAGAGGAAGATCCCCTAGAGCTGCCTCTACTAAGGCCCCGAGCTCTAGCATCCTCCCTAGCAGTCGTCGAGTCTCGTTACACGACTCCTAGTACTAATGCCTCGATGTCTATCTCTACTAAGAAGCGTGCTGTAAAGCCTTTTTAATTCAAAGGCACCGATGCAGACAAGTGTCATGGGCCCAAACCACGAAGGATTTGGTAAGCTGGTAACGCTGTTGAATTGCTAAAGAGAGAAGGAGAAGATCTCTCTTACTGCGATCTGCTATTTACATCTGTGGGCAAACGGTCTACCCATCCCTTCTGCCTTAGGCCGCAAGGCCACAACACACAGACTGGGCGAAGCCCAAGACTGTCACATATAGTATCTATATTTTTTTAAACGCCAATTAGTTGTCGAAAAGCAGCAGAATGGCCTTCAATATATTCGTTATCGTGATTTCGGTTGGGAAAGCTACACCAAATCCTGGGATTTTGGCTCAGACGCTGTTGGTAGTGGCGCCAAGTCTTCGGATCTTCCTTGTCACGTGCCTTTCAGCGGCTGAGGTATCTGAGACAAGAGATGCGAACCCGCAAGCGGGTTTCGCTGAAAGAGTGCGTGAATCATATTCACAGAAGCATCATAAAAGGCTTGCTTTTTATCAAAGATCAGAGGTTATCACTTAGTCATTATACAAGATTTCTTTCCTTTTTCTGTACCTTACGTAATCCTGGGTAGTCACGCCACGCGCCCAACATATCCCCCATATAGATTCCTCCTTCATAGCAACAATTCAATGTTTACCTCACGATTGGAGTTTCCCTACAGTAAGGTCCTTATACTTACGATTAGGGTGTCCGATATGGGCCTCGGTGAGAGGCCTAACGGGCGTATGAATCTCTCTCTCACAATTAGGATCAATGTTACTGGTAGATCTAAGGGTATAACATTGATTAAAAACATACTAGCCATTCCTCGGGCACTGTCATCGCTGTATAGTTAAGAAGAGGCCTCGCACTTCGGTAAAATTGACTCCTCCTTTTAATCAGATTTGACATTCCGAATAGAGTATCTTTCTCTTAAATGGGCTCACTCTTATCTTTAACCGACTCTTCGTCCTAAACCGGCTCCGCTTTGTCCTAAACCGGCTTCCCATCGTCAACGAACTCTCGATTTTACACAGGCTGTACGTCCTAAATAGGCTCCTTTTTAGAGTACGAATAGACGAAGGATTTTTCCCACTCTGTCGTGTTTTATTGCTCTCCCAGCGATTGTGGTATTTGCTAGCCCTGAACAGAAGTTTAACTTGAAATATTTTCCCGCATTGCTGTTCGCTTATAATTATACCAGTACTCGACGGTGTGAACACTACAGGTCGCTTTGTCTCTTCCCTGTGACAGCCCAGGCCTCGAACTTGACGCCACCCTCTCTAGAAACCTCTTCCTTGACAGCCTCATTAACAGCGGCTGGCCAGCTGGCAATCTCCTGATCATTCCACCCCTCTTTGGCGCTGCGTGTGAAGTCACTGAGCATAAACCCGCGTAGACCATCGATCTCGTCGCCTTCGCATATTACACTGACAACTTCCTGCTTGACATCTATAAAACCCGTAGCGCGTACCATTTCAGCAACAAAGCCATCATGCATGAATTCTGTCCGAGGGACCTTCATCGGTTCGGAATCGGCGCGCACCTTCTTCTGGGCGGCATGGATGATTTCTGCCGCGCCGAAGCGCTTCCAGACAGTCACAACAAGTGTACCGTTAGGCTGGAGAGTGCGATGCATCTCCTTGAAGCAGACTAGGGCGTCTGTGAATGTGAAGGCGCTGATATTGGAGATGCTGACCGTGAAGGTTTTGTCCGTATACGGAAGCTTGTGGCTATCGATGACGGCCGCATGGACGTGCTGCCAACCTTGGCCCTTGATGCGAGCCTCTGCAGCCTCAACCATGGCCGGCACGTTGTCGTTGGCATCGATGCGGTTGGGCTCATGACCTAGGTGCGCGATGACAGCCGCTGCTGCTATGGCTGGCCCACAGGCATCGTCGTTAATGATGCTACTTGTATCAAGAAGGCTAGGGTTCTGCGCGAGGTACTTGGCAATAACCTTGGCAGTACTGTTTCCTGTCGAAAGAGTGTAATTTGTAGCCAGCTCTGTAAAGTATTTGGGGAAAGTACGACGCGGTGAGTGACCCTCCATAAACTTGCTGGCAGCGGGATTCATCTTGGGATTCTTTGTGTTATAGTAGGTAAGCAGTTTGTGTGAGTTTAGGCGAACGGCGATGGTCAAATACGAGGCTGCAGGTGTGAGATAAATAGCGGTTTCGCTCAATCAGGTGATTGGGGCAGCGACATAGTGGGAAAATACTGTTAAATTCCAAAAGAGCGTAGATAGATTGACCTTAGTCTTAATAAGCGTAAAAACTTCGAGAATACGCCCATATTTAATTAAGTTCTGTTGACAACTTGACATGACTGTCTTCAACAATGAGCGATTAATAATATTGTCTTGTTTCTAACAAACCTGCGTGGAACTTGATGCCTCAGGCATCCAAACCCGGCTCGCAATCTCCACGGTCAAACCGTCTCAGAGCTGGGGAATTCCGCGCTCGTTGCCTCGGATCCGGTCTAGCTGGCGACAGATCAGTCGAAGTGCGATGCTTTGTTTTCGATTCAAGGTGAACGTTTGCTCCGCTAACTGCCTCCCTACCACAGAGAACGACGTAGAGTGGCCGAGCTGGATACGCATGAATGGGTCTACACTCTACAGTCTACACCCCCGCCCCCGCCAGGGCTTTCTATGTCCGACTCGACCGTCGTAGATTGGACCTCGTGCTCCTCGAAACCGTTCGGGACCCTGAAGTCGGCGGACCTGTCCTCAGCTCCGTCGTTCTCAACCGTGCCTTAGATCCCTTGGATCCTCCTCCCCCTCTCTCTGGAGTCTGTTTCATCTCATCTCGTCTTCTCTTGCCTTATGCAACTATTCTACAGATATTGGACAGTAATTCTAAGATCAGTAAGCTACAGCTAGTTAGTATTGTTCTTAGTCTTATACTTTTCCTTGAATCATGTGAACTTCTATCCCACTATGCTAGACATTAAGCCTCTGTAGATATTCCAATCTTGGAAGATTAAGCCTCTGCAGATATTTCAATCTTAATAATCCTCCATTCCAACCAATGAACCGTAAACCTTTCGTGATGCTTCTGTGAAAGATTCGAGTGCCGTTTTAGAATTCAAAATCGCCCACTCGAGCTTCGTTCCTCAAGGCTCTTTTTGGGCGAACCGCTTGCCGGTTCGCATCTACTCTTGTATAGTTGCCCGGGTAGTGGGCACACCTTTTGGGTAGTCGACGAAGGTTGGGGTTGAAGTGGGACAAATCACGTGAAACTCACGTGAATGTCATGTGATTTAAGTGCATAGTATTTCGATCCTCGCGGGGCACAAGGGATGCGAACCCGCAAGCGGGTTCGCTGAAAGAGAGCCTGGAGGAACGAAGCTAGAGTTTACAATTTTCGAACGTCCTTTTAAAAAAGGGGTCGAATTATAATCACATAAGCATCACAAAAGGGTTGTTATTCTATTGGTGTTCTGGGGAAACAGAGAATTAAATTTGATACGTATGTCAGAGCTCTAACTAGGTCGATCAATTTAGTACCCATAGGACTATCACCACTCGAATGCTAATAAAAGAGAAAAGGGATTCGTACACTATGTTCATTACCAAATCCTCCTAATTCTTGTCTTATAATCGCTTCTGTATTGCGTACGCTCGATGTTTTTAGTCTAGTCAGCTACCTCAATTTTTTAGGAGGATAACGGTTACGATGTGGCCGAGATCCGCTATTCAAGTTCGATAGTAGAGCCGATATATTCGAGGAGCCTTCGGGGTATGCCGTAGTAGAGGGAGAAGTAGGAGTAGATTACGAGTCTACGGTGCCGTCTGGGTGCGGTGGATAGAGGTCATGTAGGCTCGAGTCCGATAGCGTTAGTATTTCATCGACCGGCCCCGTAAGGCGCGATCTTTTCGAAGGGGTCGATAGAGTAGGCCGGCCCTCCCAACGACTTAGTCGTTTCGACGGCGAGGAAGTGGTCGGGGTCGTCGTGAGTCCGGCGGACGTAAGTTTTGGTAAATAGGCCAGATCCAGGATTCGGACGGCCAGAAGGTTCGTATTAGTCGTACGACCTACCACCTTTGCGGTAAGGGTGATGAATGTTCCTGCTTAAGGGATCTTCACCTTTGCCCAACGTTTAGAATCCTCTAAGAAGCAGGCCATAGAATATGGAACCGGTGCGGCGTTAGAGGCGTCATAGACGGAAGTGTCAATCACGAAGCGGCGAGCGTGGGCAGGGTCTAGGGAGTTATCGTTATTGCGAGACGACACGGAGCCAACGATGGTTACCATTAGACACCATTAGTCTAGCAAACGTTGGCGGTACTCGTCGAAGTTCGAAACGTCACCCGGATGTCTAGACCGGTTTAGTCGAGTCATAATACGAGTATAGGTAGACGAGCCTTATCAGACTGAGTGCCTGGACGTTTATCTCTAAAGTATTATCTACAGATAAGGTAGTAGAAAAGCGACCGTCTGCGTAGAAGAAAGCGTTAGGGATAAACAGTTCCCGCTACTCTTAGGTTAGATAGGCACGAATCCGCGCCCGAATAGGCTTAACGACGACATCCGAATAGTAGAAGCCGTCTTCCTCGAAGATATTAAAGTCGGTTTAGATCTTAACGTAGTTAGATGAGCCTTATCGAGTCGGGTCATTCGCAACGGTATCAATAAAATCACGAATATGAATAATATTCGAGAGTGAGGGCAGTCGAGACATATTGGGTAAACACAGTTAGGGGAGGGATATCAGGGGTGATCCAACGGTCGCAGTATCGAGGTAAGAGTTGATTGATATGGCGGTCGAGAGGAGCACGAGGTAGGGATGGAATTCCCACTTTATCTAATGTTATGAGGGAAATAAAAGGCAAAGAGGGGTCGGCTGATCAATTAATGAAGAGGGAAGAGAGGGAAAGAGGGGAAAGGACGGGAGAAAGAAAGAGAAGTTGACGTAATATTGGAATAGATTCTATAAGACAGGTTACACAATAGAGCGCGGAGCGCGGGTTGGTGATATGTCATGCACGTTGCCGTGTCACGGGGAGCGAATTTCGCGGAAGATGAGTCGTAGAAGATAGATGAGAATACGAGCTCGGACTGGTATGATGGGGGAAAGTTGGAAGTCGTAGATTGATAGGCTGGTTGATCAAGTTTCGTAGCGTTCAAGGTGAAGGGATCCAGGACTTAGGGGGCGATCGTGTCTGCGGTTGAACGGTGGTAGAGTGGGGGAGGGATTGGGATCGTAAGTAGTCTACAGAGCCAGGACGGGATAAGGGATACTGTTCGGTCGACTGATTAGTTCGAGTTTTAAGAGGATAGCCTGTATATCGCGACAGGAGTTACGAATCTAGATAAGCCGGTACTTCAATTAATTCGAATCCGTTATAGAGGGCTACTGTTAAGGCGAGGGGAGTTTATCCGACCGGTTCCGTCGTTGGAGCGCATTATATCGGGAGCGCATGGCGCAGGCGGGTATAGAGTTGCGGACACCTGCTAGTGTCCTTAACACGATAGAGCGGGAGTTCGAAGACGGTCAAGAAGGTCGAAATCCGAACCGGGATGGATCAGTGCTCGCAGGCCTAGGTCTTCGGACGTCAGTAGATATTACTGAAGAATTCGAGAGAGAAGACGAGTAGGCCAGAATAGATAGGAGATCCCGCCGCCGGCGGACTCAGACGCCGAGTGCGATGCCGAGGGCGACGTCGTCCGGCGAGGTAGCTGGTAGTACTAAGCACGGTTCGAGCGAGATCAGCCCTGCGGTCGTAGCGAACCGATCCCATTTAGGACGGAGGAGGTCCGGGTCGGCCATTTCTCGTGAGACGCCCTCCAAACGCGTCCGAAGAGCGGACCGTTCGGAGTGGAGTGAAGAGGAGCAAAGGAGAGAGCTCGACGGCGTTATGCGTGGATTGGATAACGAATTTGCCGAGAAAGAGCAGCTCTCTTATAACCAGGCGTGGTATACGCCGATCCCAACCAGGAGCAAGGTTAATACCGTCCAGGAGTTCTATAAAGCGTTCCATGATGTGAACACGTTACCGATACTCACTTACATGTTTTGTTATGGCAAGTACGGTCGGATCGAGCTACAGGAAGTAGCATAGCAGCGGTAGATCGGTAGTCCTATTAAGAAGCGTCAAGATTCACCTTTTCAATATATCAAGTATTTCCCTATCGGGAAGAGCATTAACGGGTATAGTTCCTGTCTAAAGCACTTAGAGAAAGGTAGTCTATCTCCAGCCGCCCAGTTACACGACCGACTCGGGTGCGAGCATATATTCCCCGGTAAATTAAAGGATCTGACGCCGATCGAGGAGAAGCTTATCGCGCTGAATTCGTGCTACGGCTTTATCGCCCAGTATAGTATCCCTAATGGTCCGAGGCAAGGAGTGAGGTATAGAAGGCATGTCAAGGGGCATATCACCGTCTTCCCAAATAACGTGCAGGAGCTGGTGGCCAACGTCCTCCCGCATCCGCTCCTGAAGGTAGTCGACGAGATTCATGTATCCTGGTAGGGGTCGGAGAAGCCAGTACCAAGCGATCTATCGGTCCTTCTATCGGTTCGGCGTCGGGTGGTAGAGAAAGCACTGGTGTGGCTAAAGCGGCATAATCCGCTATATAGGCACATCGAGATCGACGTGGCGGAATTGGACAGCTGGGATGCGCCCTTACACGGGGTACCATCTCGAGTATATGAGCGGTTAAGACGGGACGAGCCGTCGGCGCAGGAGAAGGCACGAACCGGGCAGGTAGTCCCGTCTACGGAGCGTGGCCTAGACGAGGGAGAAGCAGTAGATATTCGAGAAGTACTGGCTACGTTAGGTTAGGGGGAC